AAAGAAAAGAAAAGAAAAGAAAAGAAAAGAAAAGAAAAGAAAAGAAAAAGAAAAAGAAAGGCCTACTTTTTCTTGTCCTTCATGAAGAACTTCAGTGGGAATGTGAAGAAAGAGCAAAAGGGCCTATTTGCAAGAAAGAATGATTGAGTATGCAGGATTAGGTTCATGTGTAAGCCGGGAAAAAGTTTCCCAAATGGTGTCGTTTGTGAGGTTTCTTCTGTACAATAACACGTCAACTAGACCACGGAGCTGTTGGAAATGCACAGATCCTGTCCTTTGAATGTGTAAAAGTGACTTCTAAGCTGCAAGTAACTGGTGGTAGTTATGTTATTCCTCTATGTGAATACCCTGAAGAGTAGACAAATCTCTTAGAAATTCACACTTTTTCTGTCTTGCACTCAGCAGATATTTGTTGAGCGGCTACCGTATGCCAGATGTTACTCTGTAGATACTGGAAACATCACCGTGAAGAGCTAGTTTATAATCCAGTGGTGTGAATTCACTTACCTATGCCTTATACCAACTTTCTCATATGCAGAGACAGGACGGAAGGGAGAGAAGAGTGTGTAGACAGCGATGCTGGCAGTCAGAAGTCACCGGTACCTGGGTGTGGAGAGAAGGGAAGCCTACAGGTAGGAAAGAGGAGAAGAAAGGGGTTGTTGGAGAATCTGAGGAGAAACTTTAGATTTTTACCTTTGTGTGTGATTCTCTTCTTAGCTACAGCCATTCTGGTCGTACTATCCCAAGGAAGTTCTCCCAAAGCTCGTATGACATTAAAGCATTTTTGTCTCTCCCCTCTGTGAAACTAGAAAATAGAAACTAATCTCAGTCTGACAGAGAGGAAGGGAAAGGGGAACAGAGAACCAATTCCTGCCGGGAGGGTTCTACCTTGCTGTCTGCTGCCCTGCTCCTTCTCATTGGAGAGCCCGAGTATGGAGGAAGCAAAGGAAGGTGAGGGTTGCAGGTAGGGTGCACAGTCAGGAGTCCGGAAGTCGCCCGCGGTGCTGGCCCTGGGATAAGGCTTATTTCCTTCACCTGGACACGTGTGGCAGTAGGCAGCCACACAGCTACAAACAAGGGTGGATTTCAGAGCTCAGGGGCTCCGGCACATTTCTGGCACCTGCGGGCTTCCCATGCCATTTGGTGGCCACGGAGCATGGAGACAGAGCAGGTGGCTGGAGGTGGCTCCCCAGGTAACACGGACATTCCTGAGCTCAAAGAGTTTTGCATCCGTGCAGCCAGCCCACGGGGTCCCGAGAGACTCTCTTGTCTCAGGAGGGTTTGACATCCTCATTCCCTTATGTCCTAGGCACCGCTGGGATGCTGTTTACTCTGCCAAGGGAATGAACTCCCTGCCAGTCAGTTCAGACCCAACCACTGTTCAAGCTTTATGACTTAAGACCACAAAAACTGGAAAAATTGCTTTCGGGAAAACGCCCCTTTTTTGGTGTGGTGAGTCTGCACGTGTGGCGAATGCACGGGGAGGGCGTAACGTTTCTTCATTGAGTGCTTTGAGGTGTTAGTTTTCCTCACTAGACCTTACTTGTTTCTGCTGATGATCTATTTGAGAAATTAGAGCAGACTTGACCAATTTCTGGCTGAGGTGTACTTGGGCTCCTTGTTGGAGCATGTGTGGGGGATGGGGACCAGCATTCCTTACCCAGACCCTTTTCCAGGGCAACCAAATCACCCGGGAGGCAGGCACCCAGTCTATTTGCACAATGCAGTTTTCGACTCTGAATCATCCTAGGTTCTCTTCTTGGTATCGTTTTGGATTGCACTCAACAGCATTCGGGTGCCTCGGCTTCTCCTTGTACAGACAGGTTTGTTTCCCAGGCTCCCGGGGCACCCCGCCTTCAGGAAGCAGAGAGGCCCCGGCAGATAAAAGGGTTGCCTACATTAGACGCCCACTCACCTGGGACAACCAGGTATTGGTAACAGCTTTTTATCACTTCCAGCCCCACAGAACTTACACAAGTCTGCCCTAGGCAAAATGGTGAAACAGGCCCAATTCATCTGAATTCGTTGTCTCTTCTTCTGTCAACACTAGCTAGCATTTCCTTCTATTTACACTGAAATGTGGCTTCATGCGGCAAGTGTTCATTGACATTTATTTTGCCAAGAGATATGAGCCAAGCCCTGGTCTAGGCAATGAGGCTGAGGCAGGGAACAAAACAGATGAGGCTCCTACCTCATGGAGGGGTTGAAAGCTGCCATGATATTTGCTATGTCAACTTTTCCTTATAGCGCACAGATACCTGTACATGGTATAAAACTATACTGAGAAAATAATATTAAGTGGTTAATCTATATGTGCCTTAGAGTATAAAGGAATGCAGAGGAATGATACACACGGATGGGAGGAGGTCGCCACTGAGACAGGAATGGGGACAGGGTTGAGAAGTATGCAAGAGGGGTCCCAATTGTATCAGTAAAGAATTCTCAAGCTGAGTGGTGGGTACACAAGTATTTGTAAATTATGATTTGTGCTCTTTCGTATGTCTTAAATGTTTCATTACAATATTTATTATATTTTAAGTGTATTTATTTATTTTGACAGAGCATGAGCAGGGGAGGGCCAGAGAGAGAGGGAGAGAGAGAAAATCCCAAGCATGCCCCACACTGCCAGCATGGAGTCCAACGGGGGCTTGAACCTAAGAACCATGAGATCATGACCTGAGCTGAAATCAAGAGTGGGACGCTCAACCAACTGAGCCACCCAGGGGCCCCGCGTTACAATATTTAAAACAAACTATCAGTATAGGATAGAAAGGTGGATGGGCAAAGATGCCCATTACAGAGCTATTTGCTGTCGTCAAAATATTTTAGACTAAGTGTGAGACAAGAGAAAATCGGTTAAATATGGCACAGTAAAAAAAAAAAAAAAAAAAGCCAAATGATACTGTGAATATTACTCTGATTGTCCTCTGAATCTGAAGCCGCCTAGATCAGAGCATCATTTTCCCTGGGCAGAGTGGAAGAGGATGGTAAATTGGTGCCTAACTGAAAGTTTGATTCCCCCCATTTTATTTTCTCCAGAACTTTATTCAGCCCATAATGAGTATAAATGTGTTTACAAAGTGAGTATTCCTGAGGATATAGAAATGTTCAGTTATCACTGTACATCATCTTTCTACAACAGATAAAAGCATTTAGTTCTTGAGCCTAAGGAGATACGAAGAAGGCAAAATGTGAAAGGCTGAAATCAGGCCCCCTACCACCATCTACGAGACAAGACTTAAGCACACATGCCTCTCGACTTTCCAGACGAGGAGGCTTGATTTCAGTGGAATTTTTGTTTCCTTTCTCTTATCAGATCGTTCAGATAAGGGAACCATTGCTCACTTCTTTCATTAGGCTCTACAATGGATAGTATGTAGTAACGGACCTTACCAAGGATTTGATTACTTCCGTCCTTCCCCTTTTGCACACCCTATCCAAGAATTCTAAGGAATGTAGCTTTCAAACCAATGATACAAGACAACTGGCTTTCTGCTCTGTTCTCAGGTGATTAAATTATGATTTTGCAGCCCCCTATAAACTTTTTCCATATAAAACAATCAAACCGAACATCGTTTTATAAGTGTATGTGGTACAGTTACGGCTACCGGCCACTAGGTGTCATAACAGAGAGTTACGCAGGAGGGTGAGCTGGGTTTGTGTTCAGGCCCTTTCAGCCCCTTTCACTTCAACAGCTTGGTGATCTCTTCTGAGTTTCCAAGAAAGCTTCCCAACGGAGCTTTATGGGAAGATGAACATATGTACTTATCACTCTGGACTATTTGCATTTATCTCAAATTGTTGAAATGTCTGTTCTCTGTTAATAAACCAGAAGCAAGAGGAGGCGTGTTTCAGGGCAGAAAAGAGATTTGACACCTTTCAATCGTTCATCCTTCAGGCAAGACTTGCCGTTACGTTCAGTTTCATACTTCCGTTTTTGTAGCCTTGTATAATGTTGTAGTGTAGAAACTTAGTGTAAGTAAGCTTGTAAATTCAGTGTGTAAAGAAAATGTCTAGTTTCCAAAGTCTGTACCTCTAAGGCACATATAGGAATGTAAATCATCAGTAAAACATAAGTATGAAATGTGAGTTGAAGTGGAAACGATGTAATTATACCACATTTACCCCTTATCTTACTTTTAATAAAGCAACCCCCTTTTATCATAAAATGTCCTTCATCCTTTTTGAAACTCAAGTGAGATAGGTATATACAGTTGGATCCTTTGACTCGACTCCACATATTAGCTTTATTCTGCAACAAACGTCTATGTTCTTGTCTTACCTGTTGAAAAAGAGAGGCAAAAGTAGGCGAGCTCCAAACCCATATAGCGCAGCTAACCTTCCGCCCTGAGCTCCCGAACACAAATATGGCCCTCAGTTCCCTGTAGTTCACGTGCCATCAGTGCAGCAATAAACTAATAGAACTGCCAACTGATCTAACTTCAAAACCAGATGATTATCACTTGTACTTTACAAAGTTGTGAATTCAAGATTTTTAATCTCACGTGATCTTTAAAATCTTAACTATAAATTTCATGAATGAATTTTAAAGTTATAGATGTGGCGGCGTCTGGGTGGCTCCGTTGGTTAAGCGTCCAACTCCTGATTTTGGCTCAGGTCATGATCTCTTTCAGCTCAGGTCATGACCTCATAGTTCGGGAGATCGAGTCCCACGTCGGGCTCTGCACTGACAGTGTGGAGCCTACTTGGGATTCTCTCTTCTTCTCTTTCTGCCCCCAAATAAATAAAGATTTTTAAAATGCTCTAAAAAAAAAATAAAGTCATAGATGTGGGTGAGGCTATAGATCCAGATGATACTGATTAGGTGTAGATGTAATTTCTTCCAAAAAAGACAGACAATTTGTAAGGGGAAAAATGAGAGAAAAATGGAGTTTAGTGATTTTGATTATACACTCCAGTCAACCAGCCCTTTCATGGGAACTGCAAGAATGTAAAGTCTGAGGCTGGATCACAAAACAGCTCTGTTCACTAATTACCGCCTAGAACTTGAAAAAGACTGCTCAGCTGTTTGCTACCTAAGATTCAACTTTGAGACTTTTACTAACACTCAGCCTACATAGAAAGAAAAAAAGAATTTGTGATTGGAATTATTCACAATGATTACCTTGGTAGTTTCTATGTTGCTCAAGGCTATTGGTTATATTGTTCTAAAGCACAAGAACTGAAGTATTCGTTCTCAAGTACTCAAGGAAAATATTAAATAAGAAAATTTTGAGTAATTCAATATACTTTAGTAAAGATGAGAAAGGAAAGAGGAGGATAATTAGTGTAATTATTGGTATTAGTTCTATCTCTTCAACCTGGCCTCCTCGGGGAATGAGGCATTCTACACAAGTGGGTAAAACATTACTTACTAAAAATTTTAGGGCAAATTTTATATTTAATGGAGAAAAATAGATGCTTCCCTTGAAGATCGCAAAGTACCTTCTATCACTGATCCTGTCTCACTCAGTACTGGAGGTCGTAGCCAACATTACAAGGAAAGAAAGAGAAATAGAGACAAAGGATAAAAAAGTCATCATCTACAGCTGATCACCTACCTAGAGAAATGGACATAATAAGAAAATTTAGCAAGGTTGCTGGATACAGGATCAAATTACAATAAACTATGCTATGTCTTTATGTCAATCCTATCCAACTATATAGCTAATTGTATCCAAGTTACCATTCACAATGACAACAAAAATATAGATATCTAGAGATTAATTTAACCAGTAATATATAAGATCTCTAAGGAGAAGTTTGTAAGACTCCACGACATAAAAGATGATCGGAATAAACAGAAACACATTCCATGTTCTAAGCAAGGGCAACTTGTTATTATAAAGACATTAATTCTTCCCCAGAGTAATCTATTAATGGAATTCAAATTCTGACAGGATTTTTTTTAAGGAAGTCAACAGACTCACTCTGAAATTTAATAGCTAAACCTACCTTGAAAGTCCCAGGGAAATTTTGGGGTATTTACCAGAGATTGTCCCCTTTGGGGCCCTAAACTTTACCCCCACGGATTTGTTTTTTTCCCTTTTTTTCTTTCCCTGCCCCACGAATCCAATAAACACTTTGCTCAGCTTTTCCAGCCTCTCAGCTCCGTCTTCCACAATCAGCAGAGCCTGAGAGGGGAAATATGGCACCATAGTCTGAGCTCTCTGGGGGCCCCTTCGCTTTTGGATCTTGGCTCAGCAAATCCTCACCGTCACGATAACTCTCCGATCTAACAGATTAGTAATACTTTGTCCAGCTCTCAGAGGGAGGTTTGGTTTCATAGGAGAAATTCCTTTGTTCTTTTTGACACCTTTGCATCATTTCAAAAAGTGCTCTACAAACCCCAAGTATGTAACCTTGGGTTTTACTGTCTGCTGGGCACATTCCGATCGCTACCTGCTTCTTGTCATTGCTATAACATGGTTCTCTTGATGGCACAGATTCTCTTACTGCTTGCTCCAAGGCAACCTTGCTCTTTTCTATTTCCACGGTTTAACTGGTGGAAAAACGATCTCTTGACATCTCCTGCCGCTCAAGTCAACATTTTCTCCCTTCCATAATGTTTGATTTATAGACCCTTAACCTAGATTTCCAAATCCTGTTCACTCATTACTTCTTAAGATCATGAGGATTATGTGTATTTTGTTTACCACAGTTTCTCCAGTACCTGGCAAGGAGCCTAGATGAGTGATCAATTGTTGATGATCGATAACTATCTGCTGAGAATATACCTACGAGCGAAATAGCAACAAAAATGTATTGAGACCTACTTAGTGTGAGGTACTCTTCTTTAAAAAATAAAAAAAAGGTTTATTTATTTTTGATAGAGGGTGAGGGAGCATGAATGGGGAGGGACAGAGAGAGGAGAGAGAGGGAATCCCAAGCAGGCTCTGTGCTGTCAGTGCAGAGTCCAACTCGGGGCTCAATCTCACAAACCGTGAGATCATGGTTTCAGCTGATCATGATTTCAGTCCAAATCAAGAGTTGGATGCTTAGCAGACTGAGCCACCCAGGCGCCCCTGTGGAAGGTATTCTTCTAAGCAATTTACAGTGAATCCTCCCAACAACCTTCCGAGGAAGGATATTCTCTTACCTCACTTTATAGGTAGGACGTAAAGACGTTCAACAACTTGACCTTGTTACTCAGCTAGCAAATGGTTGAGACAGGACTTCGATATAGTTATTGTGACTCCAAAGCTGGCCTTCTCTCTCTTTTTTTTCCCCCCCAACTTTACTGAGCTGTAGTTGACACTTAACACTGTTAAAGTTTCAGGTGTGTAACATAACGACTTGCCATATGGTACATATCACAAAATGATCATCACGATAATTTCACCTAATGTATCCATCACCTTGGGAAGCCAGGCTTCTTTTTATTTTTTTATTTTTTATTTTTTATTTTTTAATTTGAGAGAGAGAGAGAGCGTGCACGCATGATCTGGGGAGAGGAGGTGAGGGGGTAAGGGACAGAGGGTAGAGGGAGAGAGAATGAGTCTTAAGCAGCCTCCATGCTCAGCCAGATGTGGGGCTTGATCTCATGACCCTGAGATCATGACCTGAGCCTGAATCAAGAGTTGGAGGCTTCATCAGCTGAGCCACCCAGGTGTCCCCAGGGAAGCCAGGCTTCTTAATTTCCTTTCTCAATATATGACCTCTTAGAAGGCGCTGGAGTTCTTTCTCCTCCTCCCTTCCTATACTCATTTCCATTTCCTCCCTTTCTTATATAACGCTGGATATTTCCATGTCAATATGTATTTGCTTTTAAGATAAGAGCTTGAAGTTTTACCCTTACCCAAATCACAGGGGCCACCAAGACCGCAGGCAGTCCAGTGCCTGAGAATGGCTTTGTGAGAATCCCTTGCCTCTCATAGGTCCCCAGCATGTTGCACAACTCTGACCTGCTCACACCTTTTGATGAGTTATAAAAGCAGGGCTGAGAACAGCCTTCTCAGACTTTGCTCCTGGATCTCATTTGGTTATGCTGCTGATCTGGGCCAGGGCCTGTATGGGACTCATGCTGCTGATCTGGGCAGGGCCTGTATGGGATTCTGCTTCTCATCAGCATCTGCTGCTTGCTGTGAATTCCCTGACTGGGGCCTGGGTGTGGTTTTCCTTCTGCCTGATTGTTCTTCCTCATGCAGGCCTTATCCTGGTGACCCATTGCTTGTCCTTTCTTGCCTTGGAATGCTCAGATTCAGAAGTTGGCCTTGCTTTTTATAATAAGATTATGTGCCCTATTTATGTTTGTGAACATCCTGGCCTTGAACCCATATGTCATCTCCAGGCCATGTGGACAAGTTAGGCTCTCAATGTTGGTCATTTAATATACCTCTGGGGCTTCCCTACAACCTGAGGCTGACTTGTTTACCCTAAGTTTTGCTCGTTTTCCCACTTATTAAAGAACAGCCCTTAGTGTATTCCCTCAACTCTTTCCTTTCTTCCTCTTCTTGCTCATATTTCTCAGCTTATCTCCACCCTGTGATCGCTGGTTTCATGAGAGAACCAGATGCGCATGTGAGAAACCTTCCTCATTTTTCCCCCCGAGAACTTCTGCAGAGGAGGTGTGACAAAGCCATTTACGCTAACAGTATGATGTGGTGTAGAGGTGGGGATAATGGAGGCTTGCCAGGTCTGACCTTGAAGAATATTCCAGAAAACTCCAGAAACTGTATGAAAGAGGCCACAGATAAAGGCAGAAGCAAACAAACAAATTGTGACCAGAAACTATTCGGTGGGAAATAACATAAATTAAAATAAGATCTAATCGACTCCATTCTGTAGGTACTGTGTGTGTGTGTGTGTGTGTGTGTGTGTGTGCGCGCACGCGCGCGCGTGTGTGTGTCCGAGAACCTGCTGGGACCATCTGTTAAATGTTTATTTCCATTGTTACTTCGGAGGTGCCAGAAAAGCCTGTGAAGGAAAGAAAGAGGAAAATAGCTTTTTAAGATCATTGGAAGATGATCAAGGAAAGGAAAAGCCAGGAGCCAAATTCAGCCTCAAGTTCTGTCCATCTTTTTATAACCAGAAAGTTCTAGAATAGGCAAGTCTACCTTTTCAGGGAATTATTACCTCCATCTCTGCTTGTTTCCTCGTTGTTGATACCACTGTTTCATGGTAGAGGAAGTGGAGTACTTAGGAGGGAGACATTTTGTCATTTGTCAATACTTCTTTGCAAGAACAGAGGAAATGGAGCAAAGGCAGGAAACAAACCATTTTACTTTACTTGTTAGCTCTTCTGGAAAATAGTTTGAGAATAAGGATGAAGTCTTCAGCCAAAATAAGGTACAAGAGCTTGTCTGTACAATTTAATTATTCATGCTTTCCCTTCCTACAATTAGTCTGGATAATCAAATACTGAGTGACCCAGAAAGACTGAAAGACAATGGAACATTTTCCAGTGGCCTCACATGCTCCTGAGGTTTAATCCTTCTTGCTGACAGCCAAGAATAGCTTCATCGTGGAAAAATTGAAGAAGAAAGTAATTAGCATCCCTGAACAAACCTTGAAAGTTTGTGTTTACATTGGATTAAATTCATAAAAGGAAAAATTGGGTTTTTCCTGCTCTCCGAACTATAAAAATTTGGGCAGACAATACTTAAAGTGCCAGCTTCAGAGTCAATTACCTTAAACCTTGTTGCCAAAAACTAATTTTATTTGGTGAAAAGCAAAGTGAGAGTCTACTGGTTTGGCCCAAACCTCAAATTAGCTTGCAAATGACAAATTCTCATTTTTTCCCATCAAAATAAAATAGCTCCACTTAGACATTGTGTATTTCTAGGAGATTGAAACCAACATATAGAACTTACCTTTAAATACTGTAACCACTTAACAAAGGCCTGGGGGCACTTTTGGCTAGAATACAACAGAGCAGAGTCTGGTAAAAAGCCCATCTGTTTAAGGAAAGTTATAGTGAGATTTCTGTATTTTATGGAAAAAATTACTTTAGGTTCATCCTATGGAAGTAAAGGATTGTAGTGCTTTACATGAACTCTCATTTCATCCTCACAGCCCAATAAGGCAGGTATTTTTATCCATAGGTTATAGAAGGTAGAAATAGTAACTTTCCCATCGTCTTTTTTTTAATTTAAAAGTTCTTAATGTTTCCTTTTTTTGAGAGAGAGAGACAGAGCATGAGCAGGGGAAGGGCAGAGAGAGAGACACAGAATCCAAAGCAGACTCCAGTGCCCAATGCAGGGCTCAAACCCACAAACCATGAGATCATGACCTAAGCCAAAGTCAGATGCTTAACTGACCAAGCCACCCAGGTGCCCCTCCTTTCCCAGAGTCTTTTTTTTTTTTTTCAACGTTTTTTATTTACTTTTGGGACAGAGAGAGACAGAGCATGAACGGGGGAGGGGCAGAGAGAGAGGGAGACACAGAATCGGAAACAGACTCCAGGCCCTGAGCCATCAGCCCAGAGCCTGATGCGGGGCTCGAACTCACGGACCGCGAGATCGTGACCTGGCTGAAGTCGGATGCTTAGCTGACTGCTCCACCCAGGTGCCCCATCCCAGAGTCTTAAAGGTGGTGATGAGTCCAGGACCTGCCTGCAGGTGGCTTAGCCTCAGAACTGTCTCTATTAAGCATAGGGGAAAAGTTTTTCCCCTCTAACATATTACAAAGTTTGCAAGATATAAGAAAACATTTAAATTATGGAATTAGAGCTTACCACCCACATAAAAATAAAGGTGATAATTCTAATGATTGGTAGAATGCTCTCATCAAAAGCTCATAGACTCTACTGATCACGAATTCCTCTTTTCTTTCAGAGAGATTGATTCTGGACTTGAGACAATATGCTTAAGCTTTTTGTGGATCATTTTGGCTTTGCAAAGACATGGCCTTTAGGATCATTTTGATTGTTCCACCAGGAGATATTCCATTTCCCTGTGGAAGAGAAAATAGCCAGATTGAGTTATAATAATTAACAAAAATCTCTTACATAAAATTTGTTGAGCATTGCCTCCACATCCTCTTAGTTTTTTCCTCCAATCCTTTAGATGCTCACACAAAAAAAGTACTGAGAAAATGACCAAGGCTTTAATCAATGCTAAAGCAAACCAAAGACTGATTTAAACAATTTCTGGAAATAATGTTTGATTTATAAAATAATTTTCATTGATAAGAGTTCTATTTGTGGTATGTTTATACTTTTTATGCTAATATACTATATTTTAGAAATATTTAAAGCTGAAATGAAACTCATTTTCCTATTACAACTTATATTTTCAACATCATTATGTTCTTATTCTCATATTATTTTCCCACAAAATGAGAAGGAATAGAAATCTAGCTCTCAAAAGAAATGCTCCAGAGGCGCTGGCTAGCTCAGTCAGAGGAGCATGAGACTCTTAGTCTTGGGGTTATGGGTTCGAGCCCCACGCTGGGTGTGGAGAGTACTAAAAAATAAATAAACTTAAAAAAAAATAAAGAAAGGAAAGCTCCAGGGCAAGATGAGTCATGTAGTAAAAATACACTGGAGGAAACCAATAGGTCCTAGTCTCATGCTACTATTTCCACTAGCTTCTGATATGGCTAAGTGGCTAATATCAGACCACCTCACCTAGGAATATGAATTATAAATTTAGGCAACATACAAATACAACAGCCATTTAAAGGCAATGAAGAGCAAATAGGCATAAACTCGAGGGGATTAAATTCTCGAAATAAGAGAACTGTACTGTCTATAATCCATATTTATTCAACTTTTCCCTGAGAGCATTCTTCAGACTGTAAGGCATGAATGGACACAACTCAATCAAGAAGTAGCCATTTTATTTGTCTAAGAAGTCAGAGATGGAATTAGGAGCTACTAGAGTGGTTAGAAATTGGGGAAGCAGATTCCAGGTAAAAGGGGAACCTATGACAGAGATAAGCCCTCAAATCTAAGCATACCCTACCTTTAAATACTTGGTTGACCCCGGAATAGAGCATGTGCAAGGCATGACTCCAAGGATGCCTGAGGAAAAACAGTGGCTGGACACTGCAAAGAGCAGAGATTTTCGCAGCTGTCTGCTACAGAGAAGACAAAGGGGATTAAAGATCAGAAATGTTAAAGGAGCTTGAAAAACACTCAGAACATTTCAATGAAAAGCCAGAAGAGCCACACTGTCAACGTGAAATTCAAATCCCAGTTCGAAAGGATTTGCCTTGGAACTCGGAGAAAAAACTAAAATAGACCTACACTAATAAAGCCTAGAACCAAACTTCTACAAGTTCAAGATGACTGGCAAGCAATTTACCTGCCTGCTATAAAAAAAACTTGACATTCTTCAAAGGAAGATAATAGAATTCAGGATCTTTACAGTAATTTATCCAATATATCTGGTATGTAATAAACACTTAGTAGACATGAGAAGAAATAGGAAAATGTGACCCATAATTAAGAGAAATATCAACCAATACAAACAGTCCCACAGATGACCCAGATGTTGAAATTAGCAAAGACTTTAAAATAACTCTGATAAATATGTCTTAAAATTTACTGAAAAATATAATCATAATGCAAAGAGAGATGGGGACTTTTAGGAGAAAAATGGGAAGTATGAAAAAGGATCAAATGGAACCCCAAAATATAACATCTGAAATTAAAAGTATATTAGATGTTATTAACAGCAGGTTAGACACCATGAAAGTAAAGGATTGAAGACCCTAAAAACCAATGCAGCCATTGTAAAAAAATATTGTATACAGGCAAAAAGATGTTACATAAGGAGGAACAAGGATGGCAAAATGTATGAATGATAACTGATTTTAATTAGAAATTGAACAAATTAAAAATTTATTTTAATTAGAACATAAATAGGCTTTCACACAATTCTATTGATATGAAAACATAACTGATGATATTTCAAACTAATTCTACTACATTTATTATTATTTAATTTCAGTGGTTTTGAGATATTCTGGAGCAAAAAGGTTTATAATTGACTAAAAGCGACTGGAAGTAGTGCTGTTTCTTTTTTTTTAATATCAAAAAGGAACATATAAGGTCAAAATGATACAAAATGGAGTAAAAAAATATTGCTACATGTAACATATACTTTAAATTATTTTGAAATACACAGAAAAGTAAAGGTGGTAATGATCATTACATTAAGGTGGTGGGATTATAAGTGATTATTTTTCTCTTCTCAAATTTCCAAGTTTTATACCAATGGCCTATTCTGCCTTAATATTTCAGTATGTATTTCTGAAACACAATGACACTCTCATACATAACAATAGCACAACCCTCGAAATCAGGAACTTAATACTGATATGCTACCACCATATAATCCAAACATTTCTCTCAAATTTTGCTGATTGTTCTAAGAATGCCATTTATAGATCTACAATTAAGTCCAGATCCTGCATTGCATTTTTATCTCCTTGTACTCTTCAATCTTGAACAGTTTTTAGATGATTCTTTAATTTTCATGACCTTGAAGTTTTTTATACTTTATATGCTGAACTAATTTTAGACTAACAGAAAACTTTCAAAGAGTACAGGAATTCCTATATGCTTTGCATTCAGATTCTTCAAATCTTAACCATTTTAACACATTTTCTTTATTTCTTTTTTCCAAAGTATTGCAGAGAAAAATGCAGCGATGATCACTCCTTACTTCTAAAAAACATCAGTATGAACTTCCTATCAACAAGGACTTTTCCTTATGATA